GTTAATTCTTTAGAATTATTCTCTAGGAATGAACACAAAAATTTGCCAAAAAAATCGACAGTATAATCAGTTCTTCACATTTAATGGAATACTCTTGGCCTTGGCTTGCTGAAAACATAGCTCTGAGTAATGGAAAGTTGTTAGACTAAGTGAACGTTTTTGCCTGAAAGGTGTTGTGTCCTGTTTCATACTCCAAGGCCTTAGAGCTTTTTATATACAGTGTAAGCTGAGTAATGGCAGATTAAAGAAATATCGTGAAATTCTGGTGATGGAAACTACATAAGACCATCAAAACAAACCACCCCTTGGCATCATTAGTTACCAGAAAAGAGTGTACAATCCTGTACTGTATGTTGACATGTTCATAAATTGTTATTTTTTTACTTCTGTCAGAAACAAGAGTGGAGACAGTAGTGATGAAGAGGAAAGTGCTGAAGATAAAAAGCTTAAAGGACAACTTAACAGTAAGCATTGCAGTTGAATCATGATTGACAAATCAATTTCCCATGACAAGTTGTAAACATGGCTAGTTTATGATGACCCTTAAAACTCATTGAACATTGAAAAAGTCAAATCATGTGCATTTTCGTGGAATATGGCGCTTTAAAATGGTTATAACAATTCTAGTAAACCAACAGCAATGACCTGGAGGTATCCATGGTAACCCAACCTCTGTTCTCCACTTGGTAGCAAATCATATATATTTTTAAGTGATTTTGAGACTTCAAACTTGAGTGCTGAACATATTTGTATTCTACTACAGTTATTGTAGCTTTTTGGCTTTCATCTCAGCACCCACATTAGCCTTAGTCAATTCTTGTGGATGTCCATTGGCCAAAATAGATTATATTAATGCACATGTATTATGAGTCTTACTGTACATGATTATAACTATGTTGACTGAATGTTGATTGGTTTAACTCAGGTGCCATTGTTGTGGAAAAGCCTAATGTTAAATGGTCAGACATTGCTGGTCTAGAGTCWGCCAAGGAAGCTCTAAAAGAAGCTGTCATTCTACCAATCAAATTCCCTCATCTTTTTACTGGGAAACGTACACCATGGAAAGGAATCCTACTTTATGGGGTAAAGTTGCAATGTACATTGCTAAAACAGGTTGTTATATGTATTAACCAACATAATTTGTGTATAAAATGTAATGATATCACAAATTCTTAAATTGCCTGGCTCGTGGTTCTTAAAAGAGTATGACACTTTTTTACCTACTTTTTACAGTGTGTTAAAATTTGTCCTATTTTTTCTGCTCTCTTAGAAGTTACTTAATACAAATGTATGTAACTTGTTATTTGTTTTGTTGGTTTTGCTGCCTACTTTTTACAGTGTTAAAATTTGTCCTATTTTTTCTGCTCTCTTAGAAGTTACTTAATACAAATGTATGTAACTTGTTATTTGTTTTGTTGGTTTTGCTGCCTACTTTTTACAGTGTTAAAATTTGTCTTATTTTTTCTGCTCTCTTAGAAGTTACTTAATACAAATATATGTAACATGTTATTTGTTTTGTTGGATTAATATTATTAGGATTATAATAATTATTAACAACACATGTATTCTCTGTAGCCTCCTGGTACTGGTAAATCTTACCTTGCAAAAGCTGTAGCAACAGAAGCCAATAATTCCACCTTTATATCAGTATCCTCATCAGATCTTGTATCAAAATGGCTTGGGGAAAGTGAAAGGTAAAAGCTACTCAATAATTCGCAGCTCACAGTTTTAAATGCCCTTCAAAAACTCATACATAATTAATGAGTTATTAGGCCAATAGAATGAGCCTATTTGGTCACATGCATGGACCTTTATATCTCTGATAAAACACTCCTTTAGTATTCTTTATATAAAAGCTCTTTGCTTCTTTATATAAAGAATACTATAAATTAGGGTGACCTTTATCAGATGTAAAGGTCCATGACCCTAGCAAAGGTCTCAGGTTTGATACCTGATCATTGACCAATGCAGGATGTCAACCGATTGGAGTGAACTGCCAAGAACGCTTCTATTTTACTTTATGCGTATTCAATGTGGGATGACAGAGTGCTTTGTAAAGTGATTAGCACATGATCAGTTTGCCCTATTTATTTCAGAGCATATTATTTTGTACGGCAATTTCTCCAAGAATTCTCCTTCGGCTCGAATCTTAAGTAATGTTTAAAGGCCGACAATGAGGACTTGAAGGGGTTTCAAAGTCCGCGCAATTAGTTCCATTAGCCTCGGACTGGAACTAATTGCAAGGACTTTGAAATCCCGTCAAGTCCGAATTGGAGGCCTTTGAACGACTTCAAAAACTCATTAATTATTCGGGAGGGAAAAAAAGCGAAGGAAATACATATAACAGAAATATATTGATTTATTGCATCTCCACTAAGGTTTTCAGTTTTCATAATTTTGAATGCATGAAGCACCGTTTGTTGTTCTTCAATTCCCGGACGGCTTTCTGAAACAAAAGCTATTCAAATTGTCTTTTTCTGCTATTCATGGCATTCCTAATGAGTCTAATCCATAAGATTTATAAGTATTTTATCTTCCGAGGAATCGCATCAGAAACTCGGTGGCGTAATGGTATATAAGACGGCGTATATAGACTGGACGGTAGGGGATCGAGTCGTGAGGGAGTCATGTATCAAAGACCTTTTTTCACTAAATTAATGTTAAACTGATTATTTCTAATAATTTGATTATCATTAGCTAGTAGTAGTTGGAAACATGTAGAAGTAACTGGAAATAAGGTAGAAGTAACTGGAAATAATGTAGAAGTAACTTGAAAAAGGTAGAAGTAACTGGAAATAAGGTAGAATACAAGGTACGAGTACTTCCTCTGGTTTCAAGTTACTTCACGTGGTACAAATTACAAACAGGGATTGGCTGAATACCTCATGCATAATTAATGAGTTTTTGAATACGTGATAAAACACTCTCTCTCGTGTTTTAAACTATACATAAATTCACTTTAATTTACCGTATCTTGCTCACTTTCTGCTCTTTGGTTGTTATTATAGACTTGTCAAGCAACTGTTTGAGATTGCACGTGAACAAAAGCCCTCCATCATCTTCATCGATGAAGTTGATTCGTTATGTGGGTCAAGAAGCGAGAATGAGAGTGAATCAGCGAGAAGAATCAAAACAGAATTTTTGGTCCAAATGCAAGGTAATTGAATACTGTGTTATCAAATTATTATTRTKAAGGCCATCAAATAATCCATGAATCTTTGYGATGTGTATCACATGYCAGRCTGTGAATCAAACAATCAACCAATCCTTCATCAAACCAGTCAATCAGTCATTTGTTTTGCTTAATATGCAGGTGTTGGTGTCGATAATGATGGCATTCTTGTGCTTGGYGCAACCAATATCCCGTGGACTCTAGACAGTGCTATAAGAAGAAGGTATTCCTACGTTTCACTGCTTTATATTGGTGAAGARTTATTGACATTCTCTGCACTTATTGTAGGTTTGAAAAGAGAATCTACATACCTCTCCCAGAAGCTGGGGCRAGACAGAAAATGTTTGAACTTTCATTGGGTGCAACTAAGACAGAACTGCGCCCTAATGATCTCAAAGACTTATGTAAAAAGACGGATGGGTAAGTGGATGTTGTTTCTTTCATTCTTTCATTTTCATCTGTTTTTTTTTTTTTTACATTTCTCTTGTCTCTCTTTCTTATTTTATTTTCCTCTATCCGAATACTAATTAGGCATTGTTTTCTTTCTTCTTCTCTATCTGTTTGATGTTTATATCCATAAACATCAAACTCTCTTCCTTCTCATTTTGTCTTCTTTTTCTTTCATTCATTTTATTTTTGTAATTTTTCTTCTTTCTTTCCTTCCTTCCTTCCTCATGTACTTGCTGCCTTTAGCCTTTTTTTCTCTTCTCATTCCTTCATTCCTTCCATTTTTTTCCTCTCATTCTTTTTTACAGTATATCCTTTCTGTTCACACTTTCTCCTTCTTCCTGAAATCCTAAGCTTTCTTTCCTTAGCATTCAATGATTTTATCAGTAGTTGCTTAATATTTTTGTAATGATTATTAACCATTGGTTGTAATTATATTCCAGATATTCAGGTGCAGACATCAACATCGTAGTGAGAGATGCTCTCATGCAACCTGTCCGCAAAGTACAACAAGCAACACACTTCAAAAGGGTAAATGACTCTTTGAAAGACTTCTAATTTTCCACTTGACGTGTAAATAATTATTGTTTTCTTGTGATATTTTAGGTGCGAGGACCAAGTCTTCAAGACCCTAACACTATTGTTGATGACTTACTGACCCCTTGCTCTCCAGGTTTGTAAAATATATCTTATTATCAGAAACTCACAAGGTGATTGGAACAACTGAAACAACCAAAAATTTCAGGTTACAAAAAACGTTTCCTAACAGTAGGGAAAGGAACCTATAAAGATTTGAGTTATGTTTATGTTGTACAGGAGATAGAGAAGCTTTAGAAATGAACTGGATGGATGTGCCTGGTGAGAAACTATTAGAGCCATCTGTTACAATGGTAGGTCATGGTTGTTATTGTTGTTGCTTTAATTTTGTTGTTGTTGTTGTTGTTGTTGTTGTTGTTGTTGTCATTGCTGTCGGTGTTGCTGCCATTGTTGTTATTGTTGGAGTGTTATTGTTGCTGCTGCCATTATTATTGCTGGTGGTGTTGCTGCTGTTGTTTCCATTGTTGTTATTGTTGGTGTTGTTGTTTCCATTGTTGTTATTGTAGGTGGTATTGCTGCCATTGATGTTATTGTTGGTGGTGTTGCTGCTGTTGTTTCCATTGTTGTTTGTGTTGTTGATGCCATTGTTGTTATTTGTGGTGGTGTTGCTGTTGTTGTTGCCATTGCTGTTGTTGGTGTTGTTGCTGGCATTGTTATTGTTTTTGGTGATGGAGTTGTTGCTGGCATTGTTGTTGGTGATGTTGCTGTTGTTGTTGCCATTGCTGTTGTTGGAGTTGTTGCTGACCTTGTTATTGTTTTTGGTGATGGAGCTGTTGCTGGCATTGTTGTTGGTGGTGTTGCTACTGTTGTTGCCATTGCTGCTGTTGTTGCCATTGTTGTTGTTGCTCTCCTTGTTATTGTTTTTGGTGATGGAGCTGTTGCTGGCATTGTTGTTGGTGTTGTTGCTGCCATTGTTGTTATTTGTGGTGGTGTTGCTGCTGTTGTTTCCATTGTTGTTGTTGTTGTTGGTGTTGCTGCCATTGTTGTTGTTGGTGTTGCTATTGTTGTTGCTGCCATTTTTGTTATTTGTGGTGGTGTTGCTGCTGTTGTTGGTGTTGTTGCTGCCCTTGTTATTGTTTTTGGTGATGGAGTTATGTAGTTATTGTTGTTGGTGATGTTGCTGTTGTTGTTGCCATTGTTGTTGTTGGTGTTGTTGCTGCGCTTATTATTGTTTTTGGTGATGGAGTTGTTGCTGGCATTGTTGTTGTTGGCGTTGCTGCTGTTGTTGCCATTGTTGTTGTTGGTGGTATTGCTGCCATTGTTGCTCTTGGTGTTGTTGCATGTTATCCTTTTATTAAGATTTTGTCTCTCACAGGGTGACATGCTTAGATCACTGTCCACAACACGACCAACAGTAAACGATCAAGACCTCAAGAAGTTTGAAAAATTCACCTCTGACTTTGGCCAGGAAGGATAAAGATGTTTATATAATTTTTCTGTCTTCAATTTTTGTTCTATTTTCTTTGATAATGATAACATTGTTTCTGGTATGAATACAGCTCTTAATCTTAATGCATTTCCTTTAAAATCAAAACTGTACTTACATGATGTATTCCATGAAGCACAAAGTACAGAATAATAAGAAATAGATAAGCTACCAGGAAAACTGTGAAACTCTAACCATATGGTACTGAAATAGTTCTAGTTAACAAAGTATAAAAATCATTTAAGTAACAAAATAGCACAAAAATAGAGTTACTAATTAAAAATGCTTCACATGTTTACTTAAATGTTTACTTTTTATGTTKACTTTTTGTACTATTTATGCTTCATGGATTAGGTGTTTGTACCTTATTAGAGTGAAGTCAAATAAAACCGTGATGATAGATGATACACTAATTCACAGTAGCACGCTCTAATTTCATTGTTTTCATTTGTGTCTATTTGACTATCACACTTATTAATAGTCAAATTTTGTTTCACTGGTTTAATGACTTCGCTCTAGGAAATTCAGAAAAGAGGATTTACATGTACTATTAACTACTATACATGTACTATTAACTGCTAATTATTGTACACAGTTGAAGGGCAAGCACATGAATTTAGGACATGCATACCACTAATTATTTTTCAGTTTGTCATGTAATAAAAAAATTATTAAATATYGCATTAGGTAGCCTGTGTCAGAGCCTGAATAACGCCAGGCATAATCAAATTCCTGTGACACAGGCTATACATTTAGAGGCCTTAGTTGTTCCTAGCCTGCTTAGCAGACCTCTTGAGATCCCTTTGGACAAAGAAAGAGGTGCCCTAAGCAGGTAAAGTTGTTCATAGCAAAGGTGTAAAAAGGAGGTTGTCATAAGAGAACAGCATTTTGTTCAAATATRGGGCTGGTTGTACAAAAATGCTGAATAGTGCTAACTATTTCTCCACACAACCAGTCCCAGTAGAGTGATTTTATTTAACCTGTAAGTAAAATAAAGGTGATAATAAGCTTTTCAAATGAGAACATAGCCTGAGTTCATCCAGCGTTTACTCATAAACCAGAAAATAAACTGGAAGGTCGTAGGCTAATGAAAACAATTCCTGAGAAATTCTGTTCATTGATTCATGACTTTATTGTGAGCACTCTTTTAATGAGGTTAGGGGGTGAGATCATTGAACTTTTAGTCAAAATTTAGCAGTAGTATTATTAAAGACACAATCAAAATTTTCTGGAGAGGTTTCATAAAATCACTCTATTTTCGTTCCAAGTAAAAGGKAAATGCTTTGAGTTGATATTAGATGTTTAATTAAGTAGCTTTTTTTAGAAAAGGAATGAGCAATAAAATATAATGTATAGTGTAAGTTGTAACATGAATTTATGCCATTATTTTACTCTCCATAATAAATGATAGCCCCTAATTTATGCACAATAAATCAGGCACAACTTTTTAATTGAAATCATCTTGAAAACTGRATTATATTTCTTTAGTTCCTCTTTTTATCTATTCTATTTATCTATTWCTTTATTTCTTTATTCTTCGATCGCGATTTTATCTATGTAATTTTTTTTCATTCAAATCTCTTCCTTCCTTTATTTACATATTTGTGGTATTCCTGTGCCATTCKCTTGGATTCCCTGTGTACCACAGCAGCCCCACAAATRTCAATATCAAAATGTTGTTCGAGGTGTTCGTTGGTGTAGTTTCTTTCCTTATTTTTTGCTTRATGATTGATTTTTATAACAGAAAAACGTTAAAATTAGATGGAAAACATGCTCTTGTAAGTTATGCATTGGTTGGYTGGAAATTTAGAARAATAATTGGTATGAAAATCAGCCTCGAAGTCATAAAAATTGAGCATTGTATGGATCCATTTCTTTTCAGATTACAGGAGGATCTAGTGGTATTGGAAAGTCTTTAGCTGTCGAGCTTGCTAAACAAGGTGCAAACATAACAATTGTAGCAAGAAATGAGGTGAGAGTCCAAAGTACAGCAAGATCATCTCTCCACTCTATCATGCCTCTTTGGGTGTTTTTCCTCGCAATATCTTTTGTCTGTCTGTCTGTCTGAGTGACCTCAGTCAATCTTTCATCTTATAATTGTTATTGTCTACTTGTCTCTTTCCCTCTTTGGTCTATTATTTTTAAGACAAAGGTCACGCARGGCCATTCATTTTTACATCCATTTGTCCTAATTCATTCATTCAATTGTACTGCCACTGTCACTCKGTCTTTTGGTCACTGCCTGCCATAAATATATGGCTGGAGTTCCAAGTGAACATCATGTTATGTGTGCAACTCAATACAATTTTGTCTGATTTTTCGCTGTTGTATTTAAGAGGAGAAAATCTAACATTGACATGCACTTCCACCTTTTGTAAGACAAACATTATCACCAATGTCCCTAGGATTCTCTCTTACCCTGGTCTTGGGCTGAATGTCTACTTGAACATCATATGATTTTTTTTGTGTATTACCAGGAGAGATTACAGAAGGCTAAAGATGAAGTGTCAAAGCATCTTAAGGATGGAAGAAAGGTGTGGTATAAAAATATTATATATTTTGACATTTCAAGTCATCCAAAAAAGTATATTTTTATGTTGTTGAATGACTTCCTATCATATCATTATCAGGTTCTTAACCTATTGAACCTACTAGTAGTATCGCTTCAGTTATTTCAAGTGGGCTAGGTACGTGTGACCATCGCAGGCTGTTCTGAAAATTAGACCTACTGGGGGAATAGTGAACATGGAAAAATATTATGTTTAACAGGTTTCATAACATCATGCAATAATACTGATCACAGCTAGCATGGATAGCAGTCAGCATGGTCACAGGACCTTGTAGCCTTTGTAGCAGTCCACAGGGATCCCAAGAGGACCACTGCGCAGACTAAGAACCTTCCAGTGTACCTGGTAGTAACACTATTAAGCTGATCATGAGCATGTTTTTTATCCGCAGGTTCAGTCGTTTTCTGTGGATCTGAGCAGTAACATCAAAGGAGTGGAAGAAATGATCACAAAGGTTACCTGCAAAACATCATTTTATTACATGTACATGAGATATTGGATTGGTAACTTTTACGCTATATCTGTTTTTTATCAGGCGTGCTCTGGTTTTGGACCTGTAGATTTCCTATTTAACTGCGCAGGTTATGCAATCTGTGGAAGATTTGAAGATCTTGAGATAGATGATTTTAAGGTGATTTTGTAATAAAATTCAATGAATTGATTAGTCTTTTGCATGATTGCTATAATAGCAGGGTGATTCATTAGTTGATTGATTCCAATATTGATTGATTATTCGATCGAATAATCAGTTGGTTAGTAGGTTTGCTGATTGGCTTAATCCAGTTAGCTGATTGATTGATTGATAAATCGATTGATTCACTGATTGATTGATTGATTGATTGATTGATTGATTGATTGATTGGTCTGCTGATTGATTCATTAGGTATTTTTTTTTATTGATTAATTTGCTCACATTTGTTGATTAATAACTGTCTCAACCACTTGGTTATTTTTTTCATAGAGAATGATGGATACCAATTATTTTGGCAGTGTGTATCCTACACATGTTGTAATTAAAAGTATGAAAGAACGTAATCAAGGACATGTGGTGTTTGTTTCATCCATGGGAGGACAGGTTGGTATAACGTCCAAGCATATTATGGGTTTCCTGTGTAACAGATATGAGACAGGAATCTCATCTCTTTTTAAAAGGCAAACTAGCTTATACAGTCAACTCTCTTGTAAGCGACCACCTCGGGATCAGGAAAAAGTGGTCGTTTACGAGAGATGGTCGCTTACGAGAGAGTTTATTTTACAGAGTTTATATGAGAAACATTTATAACAGGAAATTTAAAAGGTGGTCGCATACGGGATGTGGTCGCTTGCGAGAGTAGTTGTTCAAAGAGAGTCAACTGTACTTAGATGATTAAATGGCCAATTGACTGGCTGATTGATTGAATGATTGATTGATTGGCTAATTAACTGACTGATTGACAAGATGATTGACTGGCTGATTGATTATAATAATCAATATTGATAGATTTTAATATTTTTTATTTTTGATATGATGCAGCTTGGTATTTTTGGTCTAAGTGCATATTCTGCTTCTAAGTTTGCTATTAGAGGATTTGCTGAATGTTTGCTGAAGGAGGTCAGTATTTTGTGTAGCACTAATAAACACCAAAGAACTTTATCAAAGAAAGTTTGATTTCTTCTTCGTCTGACCTGAATTGATGGCTGTCATTGATGTGACAAAGGCAATGTACTGTAACTGACAGTTATTGATGTCTTTTAGGTAAAACCATATAATGTTGGAGTCTCTGTGGTCTTTCCTCCTGATACAGATACACCTGGCTTTGAAAATGAAAATAAAAATAAAGTAAGGAAAATATTTTGATATTGCAATCTTCACACTATATCTTTAAAGTAATGACGTATTATTAGGAACTTGGACTTAATTGTCCTAGAAGATCATTCACATTAATCAGTTGCCGTCATGAATGCCATCATTGTCCCTGTCACCTTTATTTGCAAACATGTTTTTTTATGTGCAGCAGTCTTTTAACTTTTTGTGGTTTAATCCACTTTGCATCGTTTGAGGAAATGTTTCATTATTTTGTGTTCATAATCATTATCATATTGTATTAATAGATTGATAATGATTAATAATCTTTTATTTAGCCAGAAGAAACTCATCTGATATGCAGCTCTGGTGGCTTATTTAAACCTGAATACGTAGCACAGACAATAATTAAAGGAGTACAGGTACATTAATCAAATGTCAAAGGAACTATTTCAATTGAATACACCTTAATCCAAAATGGCTGACTCGCCCTTGATGTCTCATTTTTCATGWACTTGTTCTTTTCTTTTAAAGTCGCTCAAGCTCAAAGACAAAAAAATAATTTTATTAAAAAGAGACATCAAGGGCTAGTCAGCCATTTTGGAATAAGGTGTATATGAWAATGGTTATCATGATAACAGCAATCATGTAATGCAGGATGGCCAACAAWAGCATGTTAACTTTCCATCAATCTTATAAAACAGTTTCTCTTCTTTATAAATTGTAAGAGTTTAATATCCAACATAGACTAAGTTGTCAAACATTAATCACAATAATGCAAATGGTCGTGTCTTTTCTTTAAAATTATCACTTTTGTATTTAATATTTTGCTTACAGACTGGTCAGTTTTTAGTAACRTGTGGTTTGGATGGCTGGGCATTAAGTACAGTTACATCAGGAGCTGCTCCATTTTCATCTTACATTGAAGTAATCACCCAGGTATATATTKAGATCACATATAAACATGCTCGATKTGTCCCTCTCTTATCATTGGCTCCTGCAATAAAGTACAATAAAAAAAGGTCATAAAATTTATGCTATCTTGTCCAGAACCACTTCAGAAAAGTAGAGCACTATGCTTGAAAAAGAAAATATAGGAGAAATATTGGGAATAATTTCTCAAGTTCAAGTTTGGAAAAAAATGTTTATCTCCAACTAGTTTGAGAGACACTTTGATGTCTTCTGCTGTCACTCAAAGGCAAACAAATTAAACATACGCATTTTCAATGAGTTTGAGGATAAGCATAAAAAGTCTTGAAAAAAGTTGCGAAAATTCACCGGAACTCTCTCAGAACTGGCATGGAAAATTAGAACGTGTTCCTTTGAAACGAAAATAGGCGAAATAGTTGGGAGAAATCCTCGTTTTCAAGTCGAAAAAAATTTATTTATCTGCAACTTGTTTGAAAGCCAGTTTGATGTCTTGAGCTGTCACTCAAAGGCATGTTTTGAAAACAAACAACGCATTTTCAATGAGTTTGAGGATAAGCATAAAAAGGCTCTAAAAACGTTGTCAAAATTCACCGGAATTCTCTCAGAACTGCCTTGGAAAATTAGAACATGTTCGTTTAAAACGAAAATCGTCGAAATATTTGGGAGGAATCCTCGTTTTCAAGTCGAAAA